CATATAATTTATGCACATCCTCCAATCCTTGTGTTCCTCATAACTGGGATTTCAAGCAATAGTTGCACATTTTTCTTCATCACTTCTATAAGTCGCACATATTTCTTCGCATATACTTGTCTCAAAGGCGCCCCTCCTTCTTTGATCTGAAGCTTAAGCATCCGATCCTTCACAAACTTCGGTTTCTTGTCATTGTACGCCACCCTCCTAATAGCCGCCACCAACTCTGCCAATTCTTCCATAGACTTTCCCCAGTTTTTTAGCCAATAGTTCCAAGCCACTCGTATCGAACATTAGATAATCGTCCTCACCCCCGGATCCATCACTTTCATAACCTGAATCATAACCCCCATCATCTTGCATATTATCAAATGGTGTTACCTGTTCTGCTCGCTGATATAATAACGGCGCCGCCACATGCTGAATATAATATAACACCGGCCCAGACGCCTCTTTGTTTAGCCAGGTCTTATAGTCTGATGGCTTCTCTCTTACCACCTCAACCGGAAATAGTATATACTTAGTCACCCCTTGCCTAGCGAGTACTGCCCCAGTTAATCCATACTCATTCAATTCACGTCTACCTAACAACATACCCGCATTGTGTGGAACCCAATCCATAACCCACATATCCAACTCAACCCTCCTTTTTCCTACTAAAATAGGCAAAACAACCTCAACATCTCGCACCTTGTATTCCACATAAAGCGGAGCACCAAATCCCGTAACCCACTCTCCACACAAAATCATACTGAGCAACCATCCCCAGACGCTGCTGCGGATATATTACCCCCGGATCGTGTTGTAGGACAGAATCTCGCAGTATGACCTCTCTTGCAACACGTATGACACACCACGTCTTTCAAGACAAGACACTCTTTCACATAGACCATCCTGCTTGCAAAACAAGCACGCTCCTCTCAGACCTGTCATCCCTGAAACCCTGGACTCCTGTCTAGCTGCAGCTGCTTGCAACTGTCCTGCTCTCGCGGTTACCCTTGCCTGATGTCTCCGGCCCGCTTGTTCCCTCTCTTCTTGACGCGCTATGTCGTCTTCTCTCATCTCAGACAATTGCTCCAGCACCTGCCCCAACCCTCCTGCCTAAAACATTCTCAGGACCATGTTCTTCTCCGATTTGCGACTCGTAAATAAGGCTTTCAACAGACTTATACACCGCTCAGTCAATCCTTTTAAACCCTCCATCACTACATCCTTAGAGCTCACATTATTTGCCGATCTAAGCAGTATATCCACATAGTCATCATCCCTCAGCATAGGAACCATCCAGCGTGCCCCATGCTGATTCGCTTTCTTTGCATTCCTACGAATCACCTTGCACAAAGAATCATACTCACGCCGTTTCTGCCTAGCCTCTACCTTCAACTTAACTGCTGCCCTTGGCTTGTCTGATACATCAGCCTTCTTTCCTACTGTAGCAACCTTCACTGCAGGCACTCCTTTCTTCTTCTTAGCATCCTCATCCTCACTGTCGCTACTTCGCTGTTATCACTGCTGTCACTGTCCTTAGCGACTTCCTCCTCAGTCTCACTTTCGCTCTGTTCGTCCTCAGAAGGCACCTCAGTAAATGGATCCCGTTCTGGGAGCACTTTCGTTGCTTCAGCTTTCGCCGCAACATGCCGAACACCATAGTAATAAATCTCACGAAGATGCTCAATAACCTTTTCAGGCTTGGATCCCCACCCTCCTATTACCTTCACAAAATCCGCCTGGATTCCACTCACTTCAAATGGGTCCTTAAACGCTGGATACAATGCTGCAGCCGCGATGTACAGATCCTTCGTCTCAATAACAGTCTTGCTAATATAGCCCTCTAGTTCCGACTTCGTCTCCGGTGTAACCTCCTTCAATAGAGCCATCGTTGGGCGGGACCCTCCTTTTTTCGCCTCGAGCTCATAAGCCTTCGTACCCCTGACGTAATCCCATCGATCCATAAGTGTCGTCATCGGCTCCCCTCTTCACATATCCCCAGAGAGGTTGATCAGTCCCAGCTGCATTATTCTTCTCGTAAACCATTTTCCACTAACGTTTATTTGTAATCTTGATCGACTCAAAACACAATGTAACGGTGAACTTAGTTTTATTTCCTTGATAGTTGAATAAACGTCTACCTTCTTGAATGAACTTCTTGAATGAACTAAACCACGTATTTATACTATCTCCGAAGGATTTCCTTGAGAATCCTGCCGCCAATCAAATCGTGTATCTACTCAATTTCGAGCCTACAAGTCCATTCAACATATATCGTTATCTGCCAACCTCCAGCTCATATTACCTCGCACTTCGGTTCGCAAAGCACCAACCATACACCAACCTCCTCTTCTTTCGAGCCTGCGCGGCCGTTCGCCACCAAACCGCACAATACAACTTAGAACTTTTCAAACTTATTAGTTTTCACACTTATAAGTTATCGCACTCTTATTAACGCCCAGGAACATTACCGAACAGTTCGGTACTTACAACACCAACATTATTTTAAATCGGAGATAAACATGGTTGACATTACAAGCTATTAGGAACTGAGAATCTGACATCGAATCAATTTTGTCTCGGTAAAGGTCAGTCCAATAGCAGCCAAGGATCTATCAAGTCTCCGTGGAAAATTTATTTACTTCAGAGACATACATAGCCTTCTGAATGTTCAATTTTCAGAAGGCCATGTCAGAGTTTGATCTTTGGTTTTTTCCAGAGAGATTATCCTGTTGACAGTGATAACTGATCACTGTGATCAGTAATTCTGCTGTGATCCAGAGAACACCAGAGGGCCATGGTTTTGTATTTATATGTATTGGACTCATAATTTCATTCTTAACCAGCAATGCTACAGTTTCGAATAACAAAAAGAATATAATAAGGGGTCCAACTTCCGTATTCAAATCATTCGCTTTTAAATATCTAGCAATATTACAACTCATTATTAAAAATGTTTATCCTGGCCACTCTTTGGTTCTTCGAATTCAAGGGACACATGTAGTCGCTAATCAATAAGCTGGTTAAGGTAGTTGCCGGTGAATTAATAAAAAATTTAAAGGATTTGCCACTATTCGCATCGAAAAAGGATGACTTTCACAAGTTTCAGCAGCGTATGCAACTTGACGACTACGAAATAACAGCCAAGTATGCGTACAAAAAACTCTTGGAACTTATCATCCCGACTGTCGGGTCTGCAAATGGTATCAAGAACCTGCAGGCTCTATTGTGGCATTCATCTGCTGTACATCCCGTTACTGACCACGACCGACGTGGTATTGATATTTCGTACCGGGGTTTCGAATCAATCACGGCTCCAGCCATCTCAGAGCACAGAAAAATGAAGAAAGAAGAAGATAAGCTCCAGAAAGAACATACTGTAAGATTGCATGCTCTTTTAATTCGTTTATTGTGTAGGTATGATGATTAACGATGCGACCCGAGCACTTAATATATTTTGGGCAAATTGTATAACCGGAGTGTTCTGATAGTACATCGCACAGGCCCTCATCCCATTTTCCTTCTGCCTCATCGCAGGCAGAATCACTGGGGTCGATAACGTGCCAGACACCACGGTCGATACTACCATCAATATGTAGCATAGTAGCAGCTACCTCAGTCATACGGAGGGCTGATGAAATGAAATTCATAAGCAGGCTTTCGAAAACCTCAGAACGACTTATAACAACTACGGTGCCAACGCCACCAGGTGTAAGTATCCGCACTTATCTCACTGAGTCTTTAGCTCTTTAATATATTTTGTGTGGTATCAGGTGTCACGTACATCACTGAAACCCCATTCACATACTTTGCTCATAAAAAGTACAACTTGCAGTATGTAATAACTAATAAGAGCATATCACATTGCTGAATGTTTTCAGGTCTCTTTCTGAATACAGTCAAATATATTTGGGTGCAAAATGTGTAGTCGAAGCTTCTTAAAAATTGGTAAAACAAACAAACATATAGTCTATCCGCTCTCATCATTTATCCTTTTTCTTCGTACATATGTATCATACCCATCCACATAATCATGTACAGGGAACCTTCAAGTGGGAGAATAAGAATTTCCGGTCGTTTCCTCAACTAAGGGGGCCATTGCCGGCTTCATCCGTGATATGGAGGACTGGGGAGCCTGCCTTCTTATGCAGACTTGTAAAAGACTCGCCCATGGGTGTAGGAAATGAGTTCCGGCCTAAATCTGCCTTATCAGCTGGAAATTTCAAGCCGGGGAGAGGCGGGATAGTCTTTTGGAAGTGCGGCACCGAGGATGTTAGCCGAATACATAAGTGTGTGTGAAGTCGCCACGCAAGCCGAGGTTGTCGCCATCATTGAGAAGGATATTCCCAGCTCCACTAGCCATACGGAAGACTGAGCAACTGACATCAATAACTTACGAAAGCCTCTGAACTATCTACAACAACTACAGCGCTAAAGACGAGTGCTGTGGCATGTCGCTAGCTAACACATAATTCGTGCTGTGCGCTCCAAGTTGGTCTTGGCGTTGAGAGGCGGGATACAATAAGAGACGAGAAAATGAACAAAAAAGGAGAAGAAAAGAATGTTGTACATATGCGATTACCTCTCGAACCAAGCAGGCAAGTAAAAAAATAAAGCAAAAATAAAATACAAATAAGAACAATTGTGGTATAGCAATTACAATGGCAACTTTGTAGATCTCGTCTACCCTGCAATTTTGACAGTTTCGAATCATAGGATAATTACTTAAGTTAACAGTTTGAAGATTTAGTGTATATATAGCTAGATGGTTGTATCGGTACTTACCCGAATATCACTAAATATCTAAACTCTTTTAAATATTTAGGGTATATAGAGCTAGATGATTATAGCTTTACTTTAAAGTTGAATATCACTTCATGTCTAGTATCCGGATGTCATTTACAACAACGCGCATGGGCATGCCCATCAAATACAATCACAACCATTTAATTTATTTCTACCATTATACTTACATGCGTGATTTCATACTGCAAGTCACGCGAGAGTTGAAGCTATGACCCTCCGGCACAGTGACTTAAACGCTCCCTGAGAATCTGCATCCGATAGTTCAGTCCCGTTACATAGCAGGCGCTGTCGTAGTACTGATAAAATGTGGGCGACATTACAGAAGTACAACTATTCAAAAAGGCTTCTACTCAAGCGAGCATCATGGTGTGCCTGAATTAATTATATACACAGCCACGCTTACACTGAGTTGATAACTGAAGATGCTTATGCACCCAATACAAAACGAAACGGCAACACTCAATAAAGGTGACATCGCGTCTGAATGTGACGCTTCACAGTTGTCATTTGTGGTCTGATAATGTTTGACAAATTCATTTGTACGTTATGTTAATATACAGCTGTCGCACACACAGTACTTGAGTTATATAGTGACGTCTTCCGTGCAATTAATTATCCCCCCGTAAATCTTTGTTAAACTTTGTTAATATATGTAAATACAGATAAATTTGTAGAAACAGATAATCATAGCCACCGGCACATGCACAGGTACAGGCATCGACATAGACAAACACAGGCACACCCACCCACCCACCCCCCACAACACACCCACACCCACACCCACACCCACAAACTTATAATTCACTCTAGGTATGATTTTCAGCAAAACCATGCTGCATATAGTGCATAGTCCCGGATATGCACTTACCAACAGTACAGGTCTCGTGGACCACCTTCACATACGCAAACCATACACGCACACGAGTATGCATGTACTTAAGTACAGGTCAATCCTATGAACACAATCTATTGCTAACACGTACATTATCTATGCCCCTACTTATGAACATATTAGGCATATGCATATGAGCAGCCTTTTCCAGATGATACTAGCGATACTATGCGGGTGCTGATATGCATATATACTTTGGTGTTGTCAGATGGATCCTTACCTGGAGCACAGGGCCGTAAGTGTGCGTGGGATCACAGGTCAGCGAGTTCTGCAACGATGCTCCTAAGCGATGTCCGGTGTTGTGTAGCGCCGTGGTTAGTGTGTGTTCAATGCCTACGCAACTGAATGCAGATGGAAGCTCCTGGTATAGTCTGTGCATGTTGTATTTGGAGCGATTGAGTACTGGTATGCGTGTGGCAGGGAGACATGGTTACTGTGTAGGTGCAGACTCCATCATAGAGAACAAGCTTTTGTGTATTTACCCATGTCACAAAAAAATGTAGTATTGCATCGTTTCAGGGCCAGAGGGAAAATGTTGTAAAAGACTAGCACAGGCAACGACTTTGGATGAGTATTGCACCAGCGGATGGGTAAGCATACGTGGGTGGTTCAGAAGCAAAGACTCATATTCCATGGTTTACATTTTTCTGCAATATCTGCCGCAACTTTAGTTCAAAGAGACGCTATGGGGCCGGTGGAGTCAGCGGTGTGTTGTGTGGTAAACGAGATATATGATGCGCATTCTTACCATAGAAGATGTTTGTACTGGCTGTAGGTAACCATTGTCCAATTCATAAACGAATCAACCTCACACCTCTACGCATGCGTGTGGTCATGTGATTTTGTATATGCCACTGATATAATAATAACTATTTCCCGATGCTACACCAAGCATGCTCGCATACCTTCCTATGTCTTTGCTCGAAGAATTAAGTAGTGCCTCTTTGTATTCCTTCAATGAGTGATAGTTCGCTAGGCACGCTGGTTCGTACAGTCCTAAACCATTGTCCATTTGTAGTGTTTTACAACCCTGTCAATGGCAAAGATCAAAGATGTGCATGTCAATATTCTCAAATATCAACGAATAACAAAAGTAGATTTGAATGTACATTTGTTTGTGAGAGCAGAGGCTTTCCAGACAAGGCAAAATCGCAATTCCGCGAGTTTTGGCACGTACTCTGCACAACCATACATCCACATCTACATGTCTCAAGACGTACATATATGCCTAATATGTTATATATGTACACACACACGAAAACACATACACACACACATATATATATATATACATACATACAAATATAAACACATACACACACACACATATATATAGTATATACATACACAATACACATAATATATATAATACTTTATATATATATATATATATATATACATACATATATATACATACATATACATACACACACACACACACATATATATATACATACATATATATATATATATACATACATACATACATACATACATACATATATATATATATATATATATACATATATATATATATATATATATATACATATATATATATAGTAATATTACTCATAAGAGTCACCGAATTGAGTACAATGCGCCGATGCAAGCGGACAAGTTCAAGACTTTACTTACCTTTCTGAAGAGTTTCTTAGCACTGGTGAGATGTGTGAAGGTTTTCGGTGGACAGCCTAAAAATACATTGCCCCGTTTCTTCCGGTCTACATTCAACATCAGAAAATCAAACACTTTAAGCGTTGTCGTAGCCTTTAGCAGAGCCGGATCCTGTACCACCGACGTTCTATTTAAAGTATTGAGCACATCAGTATTGTGTGAAAGTTCGGTATACATTGTGACTAGCTTAAGATGTCGTCGTGTATGTATGGGCCTGTATCCTCGGGGGGTTGGTAGACAAACTAACCAAAATAAACAAATGGGGAGATATGTCTCTAACGGCACCCAGACCTAGACATGAAGAAGTAGCCTGCGAATAAGTGTTAAGTACCCACGCACATAAGCCTAGATATACCTCTAACGACATTGAGAAGTAGCCTGCAAAT